GTTTTATATTTCACTGCAACAAGTTTAAAGGAGTAAAGAACACCATTAATACGATACAAATTCCCATATCTCTGACAAATTCTAGAATGCTTATATAGTTAATTAAAGTATATTTTGCGTAAGATGGGTAAAAATATTCCAGTTAATTTTCTGAATAAAAGCTGGGAAGACAAGACGTCAGAATTAATGAGGTGTACGGTTTCTAGACTTCACTTCACGATTGGTTGGTCAATGTGCTTCCTCGTGATATTTTACTTTTCGCTGAACATTCTATATTAATGTTTATCTTATTTTAGCACCGGAGTGGACTGAAATGCTCATTCAAAAATATCTTTAGATTGGTGTACTTACAATCAGTCCCTAGCAGTCAATCGCTTAATACAAAGCGCTGTACGCTTCCTGTTGTTGTAATTAATATGACAAGCCAATACATCTAGTTGAAATCTATTAATTTGGTCAACCTACTGTACGCGACGCACAACTCATTTGTAATTATTTACTAAGGTACAAGCGTCCCCGTCTGCCCTTGCCCTTGCCTCAGCACTCCCTCAGCACTGGCCCATTTATTTATTGTCCTGAAGCAGTGGTAGGGTTAATACTGGGACGTGTAAAAGTGCTTTTTTAAGCCTATTTACAGAAATAAATGAGTTTTACTGAGTTTTTACTGAGTTTTACTGCTCTACCCGCTTGGGGTTTCAGTCTGTAGCAGTGATATATGGATAAAATCTTAACAATTTTGAAACACTCCTTACACTAATATGTAGAATTGAGTCCCCATCCCAATATACATATTACAAAATAATACCCTTTATCATCTGCTTAAAAAATATCTTATCTTACTAATATTATAAATGCGAAAGTTTGTATGGATGTCTGGATGTTAACAATAACATGTTTGTTACTCTTTCACGCAAAAACTACTGAACGGATTTTGATGAAGCTTTACAGTATTATTGTTTATAACATAGGCAATAATTTATAACGATCTGTGACACTAAATTTCAGCCGGGTGAAGCCGCGCGGCCGCGGGCAAAAGCTAGTATTTAATATATTTTACGCGTATGAATAAAGAGTTATTTTTAAAGTAATAACTCACGGAATTCCCATGGTCTTTTTCATCTCCTAATTGTAAAGCATGGTGTAACAATACTCTAGGTGACGTGACGTGGATTAGCCATTACTACTTATTTAACACTGGAACCTTCTCTTAGCTATAACCGTCTACCCGCTTCATCTTCATGGGCGTACGTGACATGTAAACCCGCCGTGTAAACGACATTAGTCCCGGGAACATACAGGCTGACGGCAGCACCTGTTGGCGTGATATATTATAGCTAGCGCGCGCGATTGACGATAGAGTCAATTCCGCGCCGATCTATCACGATTCCCGCCAGACATTTATTCAAAATCGCTCTGTTTAAAGCGCTCAAATAATAATCTTCTACCGCGCAAAGCAGCTTTCATCATAATTTAAAAACTAAAGCAATTTTTGAATTATAAATTGTTTTCAGTAGCATTAACGACCTATTGTTCTCCACTTTGTCTACAACACAATAGCACATTCTCTACCACACCCTCGTTAAATGAGACCAAAGAAAATTGTAACCTCACAAATCCGGTTCGTAATCTAAAAGGAATCCCGTGTTCTTAAGGGATTGAATGAAAAGAACATTTAATCCAAAATCGAACGTCTTTATTTACATAATGCTTGAGCGTTCGTCTGTTGGGTACTTTAACGGGCAGTTCGATCCCACTGAAAGTGAAATAGGTTCCGCAGATAGCCCGAAGGTCCGCGTAAACAAACAAAATATTCGGTATCTGCCCTACATCACCAGAATTAAATGAGGAGTGAAAAATGTACCTGTATCCCGGTATAGGCGTTTTTGTTCTCCGGATACGCGTGCGGGGCAAATTTGAATTTATGTTGCCCATAAATTTTTTTCCTCCTCCGGCAGAATTATTGGCTGTGCAATATATTGCCATTCGGGACGTGCTGCGGCCCGCCAATTTAAAGAATCATCCAAACATTTTTACGACTTCTCGCAGGAGCAATTTTCTTAATTCATAACCTGATCTTACCTAAGGGATAAAGTAAGAAATATATCGACGTGGATGTAATAATCGAAATACCTATCTGATAGGATTTCGGAAAAATCAGAGTACCCAACTGGCGCTACTGGAGACTGGTGACAAAAGAGACTCCGTTTGCACAGCGCCTTATACAGGGTGTGGTTTTGTAAAACAACGCCCAGTTCAGGGGTAGTATACACGATACTGATGCAAAAAAAAATTTTTACCTTAAATTTTCATGGAGATAATCCATGAAATCAAGAAAATTGTATTATTACGCGGGCGAACTCCCCGCTCTCCCGGGGCGGCGGCCGCATGTGCTCAGTGGTGTAGCGGGGTACGAGGGGGTGGTGCGGGCGGTAACAAGCACCATCTCGAAAGTTTTAGGAGACGTTTGAACAAGGTTTTTAGTATTAAAGTAATAGTTAAAATTTTATTTATATTTTTCTGGCAATTACTTTCATGTGTTCTACCACCCCTGAGATGGGCGTTGTTTTACAAAACCACAGCCTGTATTTTATGAGTGCACTCACCTGGGCGCCCACCATGCCTTCCCTGAGCCGCGGGAGATCGGTATGCGAGTACTTGGAGATTGACCACGGTTCCACGATGGTCAAATCGGTGTCGAGCTCGAATTCGTTGATCTGGTTCCTCAAGAATTTGCGGATGTTCCACGGCAAGTCGTTGTGCCTGAAAATAAAACCTTAATTAGTATCTAAAGCCATTTATTAACTACAAAATCCAAATATCTTTTTAAAAAGATTTTTCGACAGGGATGTTGAAACCATAAAAATAAAATTGAATCGATCAAGTTCACAGAGCGATCGAGAACGTAGAGTTGGTTAATAAAAACGCGTTTCAATTTAGACGGTTAGTGTCAGATTGCAGCCGTACCGTTAGTTCTTTCCTGGAACACAAACTATCCAGTTTGAATTCTTAGGTTAGGTTGCACCATCTTACTTTAACTTACGGTTATTGTTATGTTACGGTCAAAGTCAGTTGGTGCAACTCAGCCTTGCACTGTTATTTTACTTGATTTCATTTATTTTATTTTGAAACATTACAAAACAAAAAAGAGGAGCTGAGTAGTGACACATTGCAATGGGACATCAATCAGTATACAGCAGCATTCAAAGAGGAACTAAGAGCAGAGTGACTAAGACTGGGTTGCAGCATCTTACTTTAACTTTGACAAACGTCAAAAATCTGTCAAACTCCATAAAAAAAAAGCACTGGTTATCGTTACCGGGACCGTAACGTCAAAAATCAAATCAAAAAATATTTATTACCCTTCACAATTTAGGTACACAATACAATAGAACTAAGCCAAGGATTTCTAACCTAAAGTGCGAGGGACTGGTGCCTGAAATAGGTTTCAAAAGAGAAACCTGTGCTACGGGTCACCAGGCCTCACCCCCGGAACGAATGGCGTTATATAAGGTAATAACATAGACGTGCATGCATTAAACTTACATATTAATAGCTTAACAGAGAAGACTGAAGTGTGAATGTGTGTGTCGTGTGTATGATGAGTGTGAGCGTATAGGTTGTGTGTGTACAGAAGAAGGTGAGTGTGCGAATGAATGCGAAGGTGTTTTTCTATCTATCTATCTATATAAATAAAAATGAATTGATGTTCGTTAGTCTGATTAAAACTCGAGAACGGCTCGGCCGATTGAGCTGATTTTGGTTTTAAAAAGTTTGTCGTAGTCCAGGGTAGGTCTAAACGGAGAGCAAATAAGGAAAAATTGCGATGGCTTATTTATTGCCTTTAAGGCGGAACAGAGTTCGCGCAAAAGAAGGTGAGTGTGTGAATGAATGCGAAGGTGTTTATTAACAATAAGATTAAAGGGACAATTAGGCATATAAACGAATACACATAGTACGGGATGTTTGGGAATCATCTTAGGGGGCGAATTAGTTGTTCTGTGGCTTCATAATCCAGTGTTTTAAGGTGCTGTATGACTTTTTGTTTGCAGCTAGAAGTGGTCAGAGAGTAAATTTGAATTCTTGTGTTAATTTTGTTATAGAGGAAGGGGCCTAAGAAGCAGAAGAATTTTGTTGCAAGTGTAGTTTTTAAGAGCGGAACTATACAGACTGTACCTTTCCTGCGCTTGTCATTTACTAGGTCGGGGTTATAAGGTGTCTGCTTGTGTTGTTTTATTATGACGCGAAGCACGAAGGTTTGCCTGACCGTGAGAACATCCCAGACCCTATATAGCTCGGCAGTAGGGAATCGGAAAGGGAGACCGGCAGAAACCTTAAGGAGAACACGTTGGGCTCTTTCAACAGGTAAGATGTGCGATTTAGCAGCACCACCCCANCTATTTGAGAACCTCTGGATAAGACCAGAACGCAGAAATTTTCGTCATCTAGTAAGCTATAATCACGTACTTAAAATCCAAAATTTCAAGTCTGTTGGTCATTTAGTTCCGAAGTTAAGCGAAAGCAAAGTTTCGCATTTACGACACTCACTCATTGATAATCATCAAAATAGAACTAGTACTTCCCATAAAGTCAGAGAGCTGAAATTTGGTACAGAGTTAGGGTTTAATGGCCACATAAAGGGAAAACTATATAAAATAGGAAAATCGAAGATCTGGAGTAACACCACATTCATAATAAATACTACTCCGGCACCGTGGTGTTCGCCTGTATCGCTCACCGCTAGATGGCGCTAGCACTAGCAAGCGGTGTCCAGATTTTTTTCCTTTCTAGAGCCCCCCGTCGATTAAGTTGAATGTTGTGTAATTTGCATTTCGTTGATTTCGTTTATTATATTGTAAGGTTCGCTAAGGTTATGCTATTAAAACAATTCTGATTCGTTGTCCGTTTTAAAGGTCGTTGTGTTTATTTGTGTTTAATATCGTAAAAAATGTCGGTAAAACGACGACGTTAAATAATTTTGCCACTTTCTACAAAAAGAAGTGAAATCCCACCAAAAACATTCTGTAAAAAACTAGCCAAGTCTCGATGGAGCTGCTTGTTTATCTCTAAAAGTAATGAAATCTAGACAAAGTCGTGCCAAGTCTATCAATGTTGTGTGACTTGGCCGTTGAAGGGTACAAAACCAGGTAATCCATGACACCATTGCACCAATCTGTCGCCAGAACCGCTACCCATTGGCGATGGAAAATTGCCACTTGGAAAACGTTGATTCAATAACCAGTCAATTGTAGGCTTAATAAAGCTGCGTATTTAAATAATACTTATTGTATGATTATCTTAATAAAGATTGTTCAACGGCCAAGTCACACAACATTAACTATAATAAAAAAGAAATCGCAGTAAAGAACCATAGACTTGGCACGACTTTGTCTAGATTTCATTACTTTTAAGAGATAAACAAGCAGCTCCATCGAGACTTGGCTAGTTTTTTACAGAATGTTTTTGGTGGGATATTAGGTTACAGAATTAACTGGATCTATAGGAAAATTTAATGTTTTCAGCCTCCATACTAAATGAATGCCAACCAAACAATAATAGAAGTATTAAATTTTTTTATTCAATAATAAACACTTAAAATGAACTCGTAATTGCATTCTTATTTAAAATTATTCTTGGAAAACATTGGTTTTAGGCTTTACTTGCTATAATATTAACAAATGCATTATGACATGAGTGTGCCATGACTGTGGCTGTACTAAATGTATGGAAGCTGGAAACATTGAACTTTCGAATGGATCTAGTTTATTTTGTAACATATTATTATAATTGGTACCGTTGGATAGAGCTCGTGAAACACTTTCAGGATCAGTAACCAGTTTTTGAATATCTTGTATAGTTTTTAATATTATGTGGTTTTACTAAATGTATGGAAGCTGGAAAAGTTGAATCCCATCAAAAACAATACTTGTAAAAAAAACCAAGTCTCGCAACTCAGTTGTTCTACGGTAAAAAGTTGTGAGATCCATGTAATACCAAGTCCAGGCCAGGAAATCTTTAAAGTTTTACATAAATATATTGACTTGGCCATCGCATGACGTGTTTGTAAATTAAATTAGGTATTTAGTCTATTTTATTATTTAGTATCAGTTTTTCGATATCTAGTATAGTTTACAAATAATCGAGTGAGATCACTTAACGTTTCCACCCTGTATACCTCGTACCACGTGTGTTCATTTAGAGGTCACACAGACGATAACTCAGCTGCAATGGCTTAGTGGCAGTGTACGCTTAACTGCTATTTGCTGGTGGCTTTGTTGAAAGAGCATTGCCTATGTTAGTATTGCGTGTGTACTCGTATTGCATGCCTTATGGTTTCTGATCATGATACTAATAATTTTAGGCCAATTTTATTTAAGTGTTAGTGGTGTATTTGTAGCAATTAATTATTTACTAACAAGCATTATAACTTTACAACAATATACTTGAGTTAATTATTGTAATAACCTGAAGATTTAAGTACTTATGTATAAAGTAATAATAAAGATGATGGGAATAATTTGGAAGTAAGTTTCTTGCAGAGATCTCTCATTAAAACTTCGCAAGAATACTAGTATAGCTAAGTTTTATCACGCAACCGAAGTGTTTAAAAATTCTCCAAACCATGTTCTTTTTTATGTTATATGTACCTATAATGATAACTACACTTGCAACATGTACTTTTATGAATAAAAAACACGTGATCAAAAATGATTTATTAAACCTTTGTTCGACAGTTCAAAAATCTATTTTCCTAATGCCCTACTTTAATCCTAATTTAATCACGGATCCAATCTAAGAAGGGGCTCACCGGAGTTCCCACTCCAATGGCCACCTGCGCTTCTTCAACAACTCCACCGATACTGCCCGACTGCACAGCGATTATTCTACCGCCGTGCACGAGAGGACCTCCACTGTCCCCCGGCATTATTTCGTGCTGCTCCCCCTCACATTTATAATGCACATACAACGCTGGAGTATACCGTTTTTCAGAGTTCGCATATGTCACTACACCTCTTCCTATACGCAATGGCTCATGCTGGTACGCCATAAAAATATCAAACGCAGACATTTTATTGTTGTACCTTGAGTTATCAAACCCCATGTACTCGACAGTCAAACCCGATGCAGATTTGTAGTCAATTGCTGAAAGAGTCCCGAATTTTGAGATTGGAACTTCATCGACCAGCAGCTATGCTATATCGTTCTGTACCCAATGATTGTACACGTATCGGTAGTTCGGATGTCGTATCATCCTGAGGACTCTGCTGAATGTTGTGGTGTCGTTTCTAAGGAGTGTCACATCGCCGTATCGTATTACGTGAAGGATACTCTTTACACAGTGAGCTGCTGTCAAAACCCAAGTATTTGTGATCAAGGCTCCTGAACCAATCCGATAGATATCAAGTCCTCGTATGATTCTTTCTTCTGCTTCTAAGGATACTACATAGGGATATTGGTTATCCTTATCAGTGTCTCCATTAAAAACCCTCGGGGTGTAAAACAACTCGTTTCTTGCATACAAATTGGCTATCGTTTGTGTGATTATCACAGTCTTAAAAACATCGTCGCATGAGGGTCAAGAATTTAAACATTTTACCATGAATGAAATTTATCGGAACTTGTTATCGTGGACAATGTTCCTACTGTATTGGCTAGTTTTATAGTGTTTGGTGGATATAAAATATTTTATTTTCGCATACATTATTTTATTTTACGCAACAATACACTGTTTCATGAATATTTGATTCAGACTGAATTTTTGTTTTAACAAGTTTAACTTAAGTTTTTTTGCGAAGTAGGTAACTAAGATTACAATAATACCGTCGAGACTGGGTCAGACATACTAAATTAGTTTTTTGTGTTAGGATATTAATCCAGTGCCTTTGTGTATAAAGAATCAGTTTTATTTTGAACGTCTTACTAGCCCAGATATTAGGGTAATGATCACTTTTGAGTAAAAATCTACTCAAGCACGACGTAATGCGCCATTTCAACTCGATGTAGCACTGTTATTATTTAATTATGAAAGAAAAAAAAATGAGTAATATTTTCTAATTATCTGTCTGACGGACAAATAATTGAAATTTTGTCATCTAGCCTATTCCTCATACAAAATGCACAATATGCTTAAAGTCTTTCCAGGTGATTGGTCTTACATCCAATAATAACTTACCCATCAGTAAGGGGCACCTCTTCCAGGATCTGCTTGGCAATCTCAAGTCTCTCCCGGTCGTACGACGCTGCGGCCACGACGGCGGTCACCGCAAGGAGAACGCACGCGACCGCGCGACGCTCGCACGACGTCACCATCCTGACTGCAATAAAAAAACCTTTATTATAGGTCGCGCAGCAAAAGTTGAGACAATAAACACGAGCATTAATCTATACATATACTTTTGTCACGCTGACATCTTGCGTATTCTGACTGATTGATGTGTTCCGAATCCAAATATTACATCAGTGTGAGATGTGTTCGCCTCAAGTTTTATTGCACGACCTAATACGTCATTTAACCAGCTAAATGCACACTTAGCGTGAATAACCCTGGTTAAGCTATAGGGATTACAAATGCCATTTGCTGTCGAACGGTTTTCCGCGTTACGAGTGAAATAATACCCTTCAATCGAACCTTCCGTCAACCCCTTCATCCATTTTCATACGCCTAAGAACTGTTAAATGGATTTCAAGCATGATTCATGTGGTAGTTTCAGGCCACAGACGACAATCGTTCACGTCGGAATGTCCTTAACGTGACGTTGGATTGACGGGAGAGCGACGGCCTGCGGCCTGTTGCTGACGTTGCTTCATGTCGCCTCGGTCTGCGATCTGTGACAATTATTATTAGTCGTCGTCTGAATTAGGACGGTAGTTGTGATACATGCTCGACTCTCTTGTACAGGACTTACCTATATGTATTATGGCGCCCTGAAAGTTCTGCCGGTAAAATTTTGTATCATACTAATCAGGCAATTTATGATACCGCGTGAGATTGTAAACTTACAGTGCAGTGGGTTGTCGAAAAAAAAGGGTTAAATTTTAATCTAACTAGGTACGTCAAATTATAATCTGACGGAATTCACAATTTTTACGGTGAAATGTGTATGCGAAATAGGTCTTCTATGTGGTAAACTGTGTTAATATGTAGAAACTTATAAGTATCACGTGTTTCATAACATTGCGTCAAAAAGCTATTTTAATTCACAATTTGATAATAATTCTTGTTCGTCAATATGTTACATTTCAAGGTACCTACTACTGGAGGTTTCAGCATATATTATAAAAACATAATTCTTAAATACTAAGTATTTTTCGCAGTTCTATGAAATTGAAATGAAAAAAGATTTTTCCACGTTCATTGTTTAATACTGCTAATATTTTTTGATTGATTCCAAGTTAACACCGACAATATTGCCGACATTTGTGAGAAAACAAATGCCACTTATTTAAATCAGATGACATTTTTATCAGGAAATTAAAAGTGGCATAATAATTAAATTAAACAGAAAGGCTTTTGGCCTTACCTGACAACAGGTCGTCATTTCAAACGTAAAATAATTTTAATTTCAGCGTGCACTATGCGTTCGCATTAGTATTTAAGCTTGGAAACATTTTTGTCCCATGTTAAAAAAAATAGTTTTTCTAGAATATTTTCTGTTATTTTCTTCCTCTTCTTTAAGATAAGAAAGAAAACAATACGTAATAGTCTGATGGTTTTTTTAATAATACACCTTTGTCCAGCAGTGGATGTCTTTCGGCTGAAATGAACACCCCCAAGGTGTATTAAACTAAACACCTTATTAACTACAACGGAGCGTACTTAAAGGTAGGTATAATAGTCTTCATATTTTATCTTTTTTTTTAACTTTTGAATTAGCGCGTAACCGCGTAAGGTACCTACGAAGGAACAGCAGTATTTAATCAAGTCTCACTATCCACCAACGCGCCCTAAAACATGGCATTACGTCGTTTGTGAGCATCATACGCCGAATCTACAGGTCACAATTATTATTTCACACCTGTACGCGGCTCATACGTCAAATGCAAGCACCGGAGGCTGATAGAGACACTGTTATACGATTTACTCAAGTGGGACAGGGATAGAAATAATAACAATGTCACCACTACGGGCAGGTAATCCCCGGACTGCGATGGAATACGTAATAAAGGTTTGTAACAGGGTCGGGCTTTAAATGTAATTAGAGGGCGACACTGCGTTTTTTGCCTATAAGCGTATTGTCTCTGGGCGCTACTGACAAGGATCGGCGATGATTAAAAGGTTTCATAACATTAAGGAGTTTTCGGCAATAAATTAACGCGGTATCAACGGTCGTTGAGGCGCAGTTTTTGGCGCTAAGTAATGAGATTAAAAAATACCTGTCTTAAAATTACAAAGAATAGATGTTTTTTGTTTGGGAGGTCAAACTCAAGTTATGTATATTTATAATATTCACCATTGCCTGAATAAATGTCAATAAGTTATTTTATAAAGAATTTATTTATTTATTATTTAAATCCCAAGTGAAGACACTGACACTGCATCCAAGTCGTGTGCTAGATTGGCGTGGGAAAGGTAAAAAACATTTTGTTTCGACCATCTGCATACTGAGTATTCTTTTTACCCACTGGTCACATCTGGTTAGAAAGGTGTTAGGAGGGCGTGTCATGCTGAGATACCATTATCTTTTCTTGTTATTTTCATTCATCTAGCTTTAAAATATCAACATAGGTTTGAATGTTTGGTAAAATGAAATAAAATAGTGCTTTTTTCCTGTGATGCGAATTTCGGCACGCGTGCGGATCTGGTCAGCATGCGGGGTGCCCGCATTTCATTATTTTCCTATTACGTCATTGCATGTAACCAGCGCACGTCACAGATTAGAGATATGCAGAAGGGCATTTCTACGGGGACGACCGATCGACCTACTGGGGCGAAAAAAGTACTTTTAAAATTGAAGTACGAACTTGGAAAAAATCACACGTATTTATAGGACTCTTGACTTGATGGAGAGTATATTTAGAAGACCGCCAGGTTTTACATCTTTCCTTAAAAAAATCCGAAAGTTCAAAAACGGGCGAAATTTGGCCTAAAATGGAGTGTCCGGTTTCCAGAATTTACTCATTTTTGCTTCATAACTTTTGAAATAATAACTTCCCCATTATGATACCCACATTCACAGAAAAAGGGATAGTTAATAAAGCCATATAAATGAGTTTATTTATTGTAAGTCCTTGGGTTATAATACAGTAACACATTTAAATTTTGTCCGACGTGTATGCCTCAATTCCGTGATTTTTACTTTTGTGCTCCTATATCACTAACTACGCACAGTATGAACACCCACGACTGATTCCCATAAACTAGCAGTTGCACTCGAGTGGTCGAGCAGTATGGAAGAGGGATCTGTCGCTTTGAGGAGCATTTTTCAGAGGTTTGAAATCACTCAGAAATTTTGGTCACTAGTCATTTCTCAAACCGGTGTGCGACATTAATAATGTTCATGAAGTATTTAATGAGATTACTGCTGAATTAATTAAGTATTTGACTGATATCTGCCATTACGTTTGGTACAAATTGTTGGAATTTATAATATTTCCGAGTAATTTGATGAAATGTGATTTTTCCTCAATTCCGTGGATCTCAATTCCGCGGAATATGGGGCATCGAATTGAGAAAACACGTACACCGAATTGATATTAAATGAAAATTAGAGACTTTTATTGTGCTATAAATTGTTTGTGTATCTTAAAAAAATAATGAAATCAATAGAGCATAATAATAGGGTGAACTACCAATCAATGGACCGTACTAGTCATTGGACAGAAGACAATAAAACTTATTTTTTGAGGTTTCATTAAAAAGAATACACTGCTATTGCTATCTTATCAAAATCATTCTTCCAGGTTCTTCCCTCGACCTTCACCAGATCGTCGGTCTACCTAGTGGGGGGCCTGCTCACTAGTCCGTGGTTTCCACTCGACAACTTTTCAGTCCCAACAACCATTATCTGTACGAGCTATGTGCCCCGCCCACTGCTACTTGATTTATGCAATTCTGCGGGCTNATAATACTAAAGCCTTTTCGGAAACAAGCTTGTTCGGAAGACTGGAAGTCGTCGAGTCTGCGAGCGAGATGATTCGTAAGGACTCTCGAAAACAGCTTGTAAACACGCCTCATAAGTGAGATGAGTCTATAATGCTATCACCACACCTCTATGCCATGCCGAAGGCGTGTTTTTTCCCCTTTCGAGAATGACGGAATTGAACTGCTTCTGTAGAGCTTTTAGTACCGGCGTAGCTCAGCCATGATGCCGTAACACCCGGTGCCTTGTTGTATTTCAGCTGTTTGAGAGCCATTTTAATCGTGTACAAACTGACGTCCAATATATCTTCGGTATAGTGTCAGGTCAATCTAGCTCTTGGGTCTTGCAATATTTGTTTTATGTTTAAGGTTGAGAATAACTAAACAAAGAGACCTTTTATTTAAATAAAATTAAAATAATATATAAAAATTAAGAATTTATAGTTCCTTATTAAAAAATTAAACATATTGATTAGGATTTTTGTTTTATTCCATTGGTATTTCAGACACATAAACCTAATATGAACCATCTAATTAATAGACCAGCAGTCAGATATCAAAACGTTTTAAGTATTTATTATATTGATTATTGAAATACATTAGGTATTTCTTCATAATGTCATCAATTCTAAGTTTGCGGAGCGATTTTTATATTTGGAGATTCATTTCTCAATTCCGTGATTCATTTTCTCAATTCGGTGCTCTCTCAATTCGGTGTTTAACTTTTCTCATAAACCACTTCACAATATTTAGTGACAATGCTATTTTTACATTCAGAATGGAGTAAAATTTATTTTTTTGTATTGAAACTACTTCAAAAACTAAATATAAATTTTAGCACCGAATTGAGAAAAAATACGCCGTGCTGTAGAAATGCCCAGAACCGCAAGCACGTCGAAATCCGTATTACAGGAGAAATACACTGCTGTATGTATTGTGAAATTGTACAACAAAGATAAAATGTACCTTTGTGTTAGTAGATGTAATAGAAGTCTATTAGACGTCACAAACATAGATTTGTATGGCTTGTTGAAATGTTGAGTGAGAGTGCCGTCTTGCGATATGGAGACACTAATGAGTCCTTTGATGTGAACTAAGGTTCTGCGCACATTGTTGCTGAGAGTTTGTGCCTACGGTAACCACACGAATGAAAATGGGAGGAAGTCTATTGTTATGCTTGTTTAACTTCATGTATTATTTTTCAGGTCATTAGTTTTCTTACGTGCGCACACATTATCTAGAATTATAATTACAGAAATAATGACTTTTACATTTATAAAATCATAATAATTATAATTTTTTAATCATCACACAATACCTACACAGGTCTTCGTCCCACCCAACGATTCAGTATGAGTGACATGTGTACTCCTATGTAGTAAAGTATCCAGGTTTACACTGCATTTATGTATATTGTTGTTTGTGTGTGGTATGTGTCTGATATGCCGTTTCCCGTACAAGTTGCACTGGGAAGTCGAATAATTTTTCAATGATAAAATACCAACTTAAAATGTTTAGATTCTGGTGTTAAAGAAGTTAACATGGTCACCGTACTAGCAAAATATTCTTAGGTATTTGTGATTCAATTGCCTTCCAGCACTTACTACCCCAACTAAATGGAAATACTCGACTGAAGTAACTGTTGTGTACGAGCGTCGAACTTTGTTAGCTCGACTGGCTCGACACTTGAATATACGGTATCCAGCAATTGGCTTTTAAAGGACTTATAGGTAGACCATATTCGTCTAATAAATGAAGTGTATTTAACACGGAATTTATGTGGTTCGTTATAGCTTTTACTCCCCTATGTCCACTATAATCCCTATCCTACGTTCCCACTTGTTCTAAATCGTAGCACTAATGAGAAAAAGTTTCACTAGTTCTAACGTAGAACTACTTAAAAGAACTAGTGGGAACGAACAAAAAATATCTACGTCCTACATAGAAAAATACATGTATACTTATATTATTACGCATGAGGCATTTTTATGAGGCGATTACATCCTGCTATTTACTATGTAAAGTGCATACTTAAATAAACAAAAGCTAAATGCACTCAAGAATCAATTTTCTTATTTTCTGCCTCGACCCAAGCCATAAAATCACTGCACAAAAATTAGTTTATGCGACGTCCCGCTTGTTACTACGAGTAATAGAATCTCGTGGCAATAGGGTTGTGACTAAATCAAGTACAAATACAAATCCAGAGGGGGACTTGGGGACACCAGGAGTAAAGGCTGATGAGGACCATAATAATATGGATGCGCTAAGGATGGTAGAAAACATTGACGTAGCGCGCTTCTCTTCAGAGCGACCGGCGCTAAGCCCGATCGCGTATAAAGATACTATTTGTTTTGCGAGAATCATTTTGACAAGATGTTCACTTTATAGAGGTTGACGGGTTTATCGGTTGTTTGTCATCTTTTTGTTTTCAGAGGGATGTCTTTCTATTACAATGAATTTATTGTAGTAGTCAGTTTTGTAATCTGAAGCAAGATTTTCTTGAACTTCCTATTTATTAGAAAGAGTTATGAGTTTAATCAGTACAGGATTCAAGGCCACATTTTAAATATGATCTTTTGTATGTTGACCTCTCGTTTTAACTCTATACTGTATGAGCGAGAGGTAACTCTTTTGTCTACCCGCAAAAGTTGTAAGTAGAAATAATTGCGATACTTATTTTCCGCGAATGAAGAGAAACGAACGAATGAACGAACTAAAAGAGTTAGAGCTAAGGAAACGAATGGGAGTAGTTGGATCTGTCAAGACGAAAGAGCAATTAATAGTAGCCTCGGCGTTATTAGGAAGTGTTAGTGTGTTGTAAAGAAAAGAGTTACGTCACAGAATTAGTTGGTGGAAAGCTTTTTCATAAATTCTCGCGTAAATTTAAAGCCGACCGCAAACCGCAAAGAAATGTTGCATCCGCAGATCTACACCGTAGGGTGCTGGTGGTTTTTATGTATGTATAAAAAAATTACGACCTTTGGGATTTCGTAAGGGTGTGCACTCGTTCTTTTAAAAATATTAGTGCGACAGGTATGTCAGATTAGGGGTCTGTTCCACCACTTGGTGATAAAGGCTATTAGAATTTAACTGTCATATTAGGTAAATACCTACTTTCAAATCACAGGTTTATCAGCGACCAGGTTTGTTTATAAATAAACTGATTCCAAATGTTTTCCAGTCAAAATAGCAATTTCACATTTTTCCTTGGAATTTTCCAATCTTTCCCTCAAGAAGAGGGTAAAAGTGATAACAAGTACATTTCTATTTCCTTAGATTATAATCGACCATTGATTGCCCTGAGTGAGGCCCCGACATCCGACACGTTTCCGCTGCAAGTTTCTCTCATTAAAAAGTTTTAACGCAGCCAATTAATGTTGTAACTCGAAAATATTGCCTGTTAAGAATACTGCGAACAAAATATTCAAAACAATTTAATAATTGCTAGAGCGTCACAAAATTTTAAACGAATATTAGAAATTAATTAAATCACTCTTTACATATGAATATGTCTCCTACTACGAGTAAGGCCCGGTTTTTTGATTCGTAGTTAAAATAACCAATAGTCAAATTTGACAGATGTCAAATGACAAGTGGTTAAATATCAGAAAAAAATGTTTTTCGAACAATGGTTAGCTTGACTTTTGGTACATTTTTTAACTATTAGTTAACATTTTGTTAATATTTAACCATTAGTAGCAAAATTTAACAATTTGTTATTTTAACTATGAATCAAAAAACTGGGCCTAAGAGTGTTCAAGTCAGTTTCTATATTGTATTCAAGTTTATTTATCACTGTACCTCCTGCGCATATAAATAACAGGCTTGTCAAATTAAGAGAATATAAAATCCTTCATCATGTCTATACGAGCCTAGTAGTAGTTGTGTATTCTTTCACACTATACTATCAATATGTAACGGAGAGTTTTCAAGGTAAAAAACAGGCTGAAAAACTTACCTCCTGATAAAAAGTTCAGGGGTCGACTTCTCCTCCTTCGACCTGAAACAAATTAAAATAACATTCAAAGAGGTTTTTAAATATGATTTCATGATAAAGATACTGCTAAAGTTACTCTAGAACAATTTATCAGCTCTTACGGCAAGTAATGGTTTCTCAGAGACGACAGAATGTGTTTTAGTAAGCTTTCCGTAATGTATTATTTCTAGGATACCCTTTCCTCTTGATATTCTTTCTTGAATTTCCGTGTGAACATTTTATACGTTTATAAAAGTCCTTGTAATACTATTCTTAGCCTAAGTTACACTACAAGTACGAGTATAACCGGTGTTTATGTATAGAGTTCTTACTTTAACTTAACTGGTTAAACAATAATCAATAACTTAATATTTTAAACTATTTTTTAATATTTATACGAGATAATCTCAATATCGTAAACAAAATTTAAACAGAAACCATATGTATATGTATATAGTACATAATGTGAAGTTTATGTTGTTGTTATACTTACATGGGAGAATAGGGACTAAAGTTAGTAAGACGCCTAACCAAGCGCGGTAATACATCGTTAATCATGTCGCAACTAACCGCATTTTGCCGTCTGAATGTGAACTTTATTACAACTACATAAGGCTGTTTATATGACACTTTCGCTATTTAATTTGGAGCTCTATGGTAGTTGCGATAAAAACCGTGCGCTCGTGATGGTGTTGTTAAACGCCGTGAAAAGGATTTTGGGCTTTAGCGCTGTTGTAACAAGGCAAGCATTAAAATGTACCTTTGACTTAAAAGTTGTTGTGTACAAATCGCGGCTGTTTAGCTGAAAACGCATAGATAATATTAAGCAGTAAGTAAGTTAAAGTTTGCCTTATTCTGTGACGAAGAACGTCCAGTTGTATGTTTTTCACAGAGGCACAGGTAATATGTAGCTTTTAGAAGGCCGACGTAATGTAAGACTATAATCTTGTTGAATTTGTCTTGTTATCTATTGGTTTGGCTTACCTACACTGGCCACTAACACTAGAGACATAAAAATTCGTTCATACAAACATACTTTGCTGCTTACTTAACTGCACTGTACCACGCGTTTAGTAAGGCCTATTAAGCACAGAGAGATGCGGCACGAACACAACGATGCATATTGCGGACTTCCGGTAGTTTTCCTGTACTTTTAGGGCCTGTAAGCCCATCCTGATTTCTGAAGCATGTATTTCCTGGCAGGAAATTTCTCGAAATAACATACATTCTTTGCGTAGGCTATTTAGCTTAGGGTTTCAATTTGTAACACTAAAGGTGCTTGATCAATAAGATAAATATTAATTAATTTTCTTAGGCTGAGTTGCACCACCTAACTTCTACCGTAACTTTAACGATAACCGGTGCTTTTTGTATGGAATTTGACAGATTTTTGACGTTTATCAAAGTTAAAGTAAGATGGTGCAACCCAGCCTTAATGTGATTAAACCTTAAAGTTTGTAACACCGAACTGGATGACAAGCTAAAATAAAGTGTTCTAAATTAAGAGTTTATTGTTTAAGCTCATTGTTCTAGACTGGTGGAAACGTAATTTATACTTTTTGTATAATATAATATATTTTTTTACTATCAACATAGTAAAAAATATAATACATATTTATGTATCACAAGCGAATGGCCCAAATAGGGGAGAGTTCGGTATATTGTACCGCCGGGTAAATTGTACCACCCTCATATTTCCTAAAGTATTTATTGAATGTCTGTAATGGCAACACTCAGCGATACACAACTAAAATCAATTAATATCGGCCATGTGGTTTTTGCCGTGACAACAAACACGTGTGTTTTATTTTGAAAAGTATTTTTTCATTGTTTTCAAGTAACTTTTGACAATACATGTTTAGTTTGTAATTTTGTTAAATTTAATCACAGGGTGTTTCTAATATATTATTTAGAAGCGTAAATTAGTGTGGATTACAATTATTTGAAACATTTTTCGGTATTTATAAGCTATATTTTTTACCGATTTTTTAAAAGCACTATCACCTAGTCGGCTAAATTGTACCACATCAAGTTGTATGGAACTTTACCAAAGGATTTTGAAATTTTTTTTAGTAAATCATATTTTGAAGTTATAATAGCGTAGTTATGTTTGACTAACAATAAATGAAAGCAAAAGACTGGCAAAGTAGATTAGGTACAAGTGTGCGTTACGATAATTGGAATTACAAAACTTGTACTCAAAATCGTGATAACGTGTAAAACAATATCGATTGTCTATGTTATTAACTACTGTTCCTTTTCGTTTCCTAATTTGTTAAGAATGTATCGTATAATATTTTGCCATAGTTTTTTTATAGGCTTGAAATTTATTGAAATCCAATTTAGTAACCCTGTGGTACAAATTATCGAACCGGTTGGCTAAATTGGACCGAAGCTCTGAACTCGTACTTTGTTGATTTGTGCTAAATATACAACAATCATGTTAATTAATACTTATGAAATAGTAAGTTGAATAATGTATCTTTTATTATATACCATGGACATCAGCAAAAACAAAAGAAAACTATGTGTAAAATGGGATTGAAAAAAACTGGACCAAATTAGCGGACTCTCCCTTAAATATTGAAAAACATTATCCTCCTTCTGACGCAGTCGGGTAAAAAGAAAATAAAGATGTGCGTATTTCCATCAAGTTGGTAGCGACTACGACGACTGCTACGAGATTCAGCTCGTAGCAGATTGCTACGGGGCGACGCGTGACGTAAAATCAAAGCGGCATCAGATTCATACAAGCAAAATGTATGCAACAATAGCCCCAACTGTATCGGTTTCGGATTTGAGATTCGAGATTCTAGGAACTAGCTCGATCACTTCGATCCTTGCCGATCGCCTGACTATGGTGATGAACTCACTTCAACACAAGCATATACTCGTATTTTGCGTTAGGAAGCGTTAACAGGAATATTGGTCACTGAGCAATACAAATAACTAAAACTCTTTAAAAACCTAAAAAAGAATACCACTTCGAAACTTCGATTTTCTCTCACATCGAATAAATTAAAAAACTATTTATATGATGATGTAAACACAATCAATAAAGTTACAGAATGGCCTCTAAGTAGCAAGCAAAGCTAATTATAATTTATAGTTTCGCACCCCCATTGAGTTTCTGAGGAGGCATTATGATTGATTGCTCATGTTTATTATGGGAACAATGTAGTCTATGGTTTCTGCGAAAACTATTAAGAGTATATTTCTGCAAAATTAATATAACATTGTAGGTAATTAGATAAAAATAAAGGCATCCATCTATTTTTCCTGTAACTGAGTACATTTTGGTGCTTAAGCATTGTATTAAGACCTAAAAGAGTTTTGTTATGTAAAATAAATTATGAAGAGTTACGTATGAACATTTTCAGTAGTTTGAGTGATCATGTTGATCTTTGTATGTACGAGTAGTAGGTAGGTACCTATGTATTATGAAAAGAGATGTTGAGCCTTAAACCAAGACGTAAATAAAGTTCAATGCCTTGAGGAAAACACGTAATCTTGTGTAAGATTGGACTGCTGTACCGCACCGAATGCAACCAAGCAATAACTGGGACATGGGCCAAACGTGCCTCCAAAGCCGGGTCCAATTTGAACCGGATAAACGGATTCAATCAAGTCTTTGCCTAATTACCTGGGCACTAAAGTGTTTTTTGGCCAACTCAATGTTTTCTCATTTCTGGCGTCAGAATGGCTGGAAACTTCCCTCGTAATACTTCTTGCTTGTTATCAAGTTATAGTTAATAGCAAGCACTTAATATGTACGAGTAGGTCAGCAATTAAGTGACGTCGACCGTGGCTTAAAAAATCTTAACCAATTGATAAAGTTTTAAAGAATAGCAGAGATTTAACCGTCTCTGTGGTCTAGTGGTAAGACCACCTGCTTCAGACGCAGAGGTCCCGGGTTTGATTCCCAGTGGGGGCAGATTTTTCCCTTTCGTCCACTAGGATCCCCTAAACCGATCCCCCAGGGGATCCCCGCGAACTCATCTGTGGGCAGATTTTTCTGCTCAGTGTGGTTGGTGGTAGGGCTTGTTCTAAGTCCGCCTGGCTAGCTACCACCATCTTACCTAAGTCTGTCGCCATAACAACAATGTTAACAGCATTTTTGTGTTCCGGCTGTTAGAGGTAAGATAGCCAGTTCCTCCGTGGTTGAGGATTCCGGGTGAAGCTCGCTTCCACCTTCGGCCTGATCGTCACTTGCCATCAGGTGAGTTACAAGCCAAGAGCTTCCTCGTTGTGGATAAAAAAAAAGATGCCATGCTATGGCCGAAGGCACTAACAGCGATGTATGTATGTTCACCTGGTAAAGCGTGTACCTCCCAAAACCAGATGATTACGTTACTAACTATAGGTACTGACTTGACTTGAATTATTCAATCTTATTACATCTCAATTCAGAGTTCATTTGTCGAATAACAGCTATCGGTAAATATTTCTTCCGCCTGAATAGGCGGTTCGGGAGCCAGCTGTTTAGTTTCAATTTAGTTTACAAATTAACAATTTCATGTCGTTTAACTACACTCGGCATCAAATAAAATCAAAAAACCGCACCTTCCGCGACGCGAGCTTTAAAGATTTTCTTCTGACACAATCATGGTGCCCCAACAATATTGGTGTTATTTGAAAGCCCAATAAATAAACTTAAAGAAAAATACATTTAATTTTTTTATAAATTAACCTACCATAAATGTGATGTGAAAAAAGGCCTCACCTCTGGGACCAACTTTTGTGGTTATTAAACCAAATAATGCATTCCATTTCGGACGGTACAGATATGTACCGCGCCGGTTCTCCCCAATCCGTCCCCCGGACACGGCCTGAGCCGAGGTCCGAGCCTACCGTGGCGCCCTCAGGCCGCGTCCGTAATCCCCTCGATCGGGCCCACTATAGTGAGCCCGCCGTAGGCTGGACTTTGGTCAGGCCTGGCTCACTCCGCGCGGTACATCGATAATTACCTACAGCGAAGCGCCCCGCGGCGGGTATTATATCAGTCGAGTGTCACGCGCGCGCCC